TTGCTTTCATGAACTGACTTTGAGGTTATCAAGCAAATCAATAAGTTAAAAAATAAAATAAAATACAAAACTCTAGACTGCAAAAGCTTTTTTTTTCTTCTTGTATTCAGACACAAGACACTGCCAAGTAGAGAGAAAGCAGTAGAATCTACTAATAAATAAACAACATAAAGTTCATATTTGTTTGTTTTCTTCTCTTCCGGTGACATGATGAATGATTTTTTTCAGGTCTAGATGGATGCTTGAATACATATGATAATGGTAAATTTGCCATTTCTCCACAACAGTTGCCCATAGTGGACCTCATCACAGCCACAGAATCTGCCATACGGATTAATAAATTATCACAGACAGAAGCAGAGCAAATCAGGGTGAAAGTCTCAGCCACCCTCTCCAGTGCCAAAGTCCCTCCGTCCAACCTCACAATACAGGAAAAGAAGGCCGTCGCTTCCCTGGGCAAAGACCACAACATCACTGTTTTACCAGCTGATAAGGGAAGATGCACCATGGTCCTAAACACTACAGATTACCATACAAAGATCACTACTCTCCTCAGTGACAACAATACCTACGAAACCTTAAAGCGAGACCCCACAAGCAGCTAGCAGAAAGTTATAGCTTGCCTTCAAGACTTTGAAAAGGACAAAATCATTACAAATCACCGCCTTTACCCAGGGGATGCCATACCCTGCATTTATGGACTTCCTAAAATCCACAAGGAAGCTGTCCCACTCAGACCCATAGTCAGTAGCATAAACTCAGCCACTTATAACATTGCAAAACACCTTGCTACCATCCTTGCTCCTCTCATGGGGAACACCCCACACCACATCAAGAACTCCACCGACTTCACTGACAAGGTCCAGAAACTTACCCTGGATCCAGATGAAACCATGGTGTCCTTTAATGTAGTCTCTCTCTTCACTTGCATACCCACCACGGAGGCAGTGGAGACTGTCAAAAAACAACTACAAGAAGACAGCTCCTTGGAGGACAGGACCAACTTCACACCCGATCAGATTTGCACACTGTTAGACCTCTGCCTCACCACTACATATTTCAAATACAACGAAGGCTATTACAGACAAAAACATGGCTGTGCCATGGGCTCCCCCGTGTCACCTATTGTAGCCAACCTTTACATGGAGGAAGTGGAAAGGAAGGTTCTTGGCTCTTTCAAAGGAAGAGTACCCAGCCACTGGTACAGATATGTAGACGACACCTGGGTCAAAATCAAGACACAAGAAGTGGAATCCTTCACTGCGCACAT